GGCAGCGTTGCCTGGGCAAGGGTGATATTGGGAAGCACTAGAGAGCTCTGCCTCGTGCAATTTGTGTTTCTACCAGTATCTGCTTAAAATCTTTTTTTATCCAGTGAAAACACAAGGAGGAAATGATATTAGCCAGCAGGGAGGTATGGAAAGGTTTAGGAACAATCTGCCTCCAAACGGAAACTCATTTCTGAACCCAGTCAGAACTAAAAGATGTGCTAAAACAGCCAAAGAAATTGTTTTGCAGAAAATATAAGGCCATCGACATTCATTTCTTCCCATCTCCCCCCGCCCACCCCCACATCCATATATGCATTTTTAATACAAACATTTTTAATACAATTCAAAACAATTTGAATTGACTCTTGGATAATGAGGCCCTTGTTTAGGGCAAAAGGACAGCTGCAGACCCCAAAGAGTTCCCAGCAGCATGTGACACATACCACTGAAGGGTTTTATCCTTCTTCTTCCCCAGTTTCATGCTGTCCCCCACCCCTGGCTGCTAACGTCATCTTCCTACCACCATCACTTTCCTCCCCGCCATGCCAGCCGGGTTATCCAGGTCTTCCTGAGCAGCCTGTTTTGGCTCTGCATCCTCACCCAGCTGGGTGCACCCAGCGCATTTCCACCCCCCCGCCCCGCGTTCAGTCTGCCCCCTCGCCCGTCTCTCTGTCTGTCCGTCCTTCTCGTGTCGGCTACTCGGAGAAAAGAGCCGGTGTCCATTTGGGGATAAGTGAGAAGGTTCCTGAGCTCTCCCACCGGGAGCTGCTCCCGGCATCCCGCGGCGTGCGCGCGCTGCCCTCTCCCGGCCGCACCGTGGGGCCGGGGCCGCTGGAGGCTGCTTGGAAAACTGACCCCCGGTGCCAGAGGTTTGGTGGTTTTTTTTTTCCTCTGCTTTTATTTTTTAACATCTCCATTTTCGGTCTTCGACTTTTGCTGCATTAGCTGAACCTGTGTCCTTTCTGTTTCTGTTCAGCACTCCAGAGAGCCAACAGCTTTCACTCCACAGCCTTAAATAAGTGTCAGAATTGGAGAAGAAAACTCCAGACAAGTGAGTAAAGCCCAAGAAGTGATTGTATTTTTTATTCATGCTGGTTTTGATATTTCTGTCTCTTAATTATCTGCTTCCCCTTCTTTCCTTTACAAGTTTTGTATTTTTGAGTCTCTAAATGAGAAAACAGAGATCTAAAACACATCAAATATTTCTTTTCCGTTTTCTCATCCTTCGAATTCGAAAGATCGAATTCCCCTTCTGTATGACTGTCCTCTATGTAATTACATCCATCAGTGAGTGGTGTCCTCTTTAATTCTCCAGATGAGAGCATGCACTCCTATCCCAGAGCTGCATATTTTGTCTCTAGCCCTGCCCACACCAATTGCTTTTGATCAGGTGCAACACTGGGTCTAACATCATGTCACGTATTAGAAATGCTGCTGGAGGTGCCTATTTGCATCCTTCCACAGGTGCTCTGTCACCTCTTTTCTGTTGGGGAAAAAAACCCCCACCAGGTAATATTTCTGGTTGTTCAGCCAACAGCTGTCCCAAGAGGTGAACTGGTGAAAACAGGTGTTATTGGTTCTTGTCCTCCAGCAGTTTCCCTTGGTTTGGGCTGACCTGTCTTTGCCCATGGGAATCACACAGGAATGTAGTGACTTTGACAGACTGGCTCTGTTCTCTACTCACTTCTGAAACAGTGTAGTCACCCCTCACAGCTGAGGCTGCATCTAGGTAACCTTTCTCTTGGACTAGAGTCCCCACACAAGTCAGCCACCCTTAGTCACATCCTTGCTGCTTGGAACTGTGTTACCCATCCCCCTTCAGCACAGCCCCTTGGCAAGTGCACACACTTTCATCCCAAGATCCCACTGAGGACTGGCAGGTACCTGCCAGGATTGACCTCACCAGTACTGGGGTTGGGTGAGCTTACCAGCATCCCAAACCCTCTCAAAGCTTTGTTAGAAATGCAGTTGTAGACTGGGGTGTTGACAATCCTAAGTGTGAAATGTGAATGTACGGCAGCAGAAAGAAGGGCTTTGTGCACGTGACCGGGTGCCACAGTTTCTGGATATGGAAACAGTGGGTTTTGGGGAATGGTGGTGACAGCTGCTCTTTACTCTGCCCTAAGCTTCCCTCTGCAACAAGGGGGATTTCTGCTGCCACTTGGAGTCCCAATTACCTTCAGAGAAGTTATATTTTTGCTTCTGAAACAAGTAGGACTCCTGTGCCCGTTATAGTACCAGTGCTCAAGCAGAGGCATTTTGACTTGCTTGCTTTGAGTGCCCAAGAAAGCTTCAAAATCATTTGCAGGTGCTCACTGTGGGATGAATTTTTAGATCCCAAAAGCACCGAGCACTGTCACTACCCTCCCTCAGCCCCTTGGAGACCCCGATGCCACAAGTCTGGAATAACTCAGTAAATCTCAGTAGAGTATCTACAGGGCTATTTCATGGTCCTGAGGGAAGGCTCCCACCAAGCTCAGCTTCAGCAAACCCTCCCCTCCCTCTGGTCTATCCCCAGAGAAGCAGTTGTGGCAGATGGACAAGCAGACAGGTAAGATGGGGCTGTGTTCCCTGGAATTCCCTGCACTTCCAAAGCATGAGGCCTTGCCGTGCTCTGAGAGGCTGCACGGGGTGTAGCACCCAGGGGAAGGCTCTGCCATGCCTAGGATGAGAAGGTGGAGCAGGTTGTTCTCCAAGTCCCATGGCATCTGTGTCAGCCTTGGCTCTGCCTCTGAGCATTTGGGGATTGGCATGTACACCAGTTTGGCTCCACCAAAGGACTGGATTTTAAATCTTACCTTAATTGATCTCAGTTGTTAAAAGCTCAATCAAAAATTATGCTTATTTCAGATTTGAGGTGGGGGTAAGAAAGACAGAGAGGAAAGAAGAGAATATTGGGGGTGAAGGGGGGCATCCCTCTTAACTAATTTTCAGCTTGTTCTCAGCAAGTACATTACTTAATGGTTTGCCAATTAATTTCCCATCGTTTTGTTAAAAATCTTCTGCGTGCCTCAAGGGCTCTAGAGGGAGCTAGAAGCCTTTGAGAGGGTTGTGCTGCATGAGTCTGTCTGAACCTCAAGTACGCTGCTAAAATGAGGTGTAAAGCACAGTCAGCGCACAGTGGGAACAGAATAAAGGCATTTTCTAGTCTCTGGAGGAACACTAAGTCATAGTTTCTATATTTAATCCAATTTGATTACAGGAATTTTATATGATCATCAGTCACAGGGAAAAAATCTGTCTCCGTTTCAGACATATTTCCCAAAACACATATGTTTCATAAACAGCACAGGGTACACGGCCAAGAAAAGGAAATCAGTGTCACAGCTATATTGGCTGAAAGGCTCAGAGCAGGATATTACCTTTCAAAACCTTTAATCCCCATCGCCTGGCCACAGGGAACACTGTGCTCTTAATTTATCTTGGGATTTTGGGCCAAGCAGATCATGATAGTGCCCCAGGGAACTTTTTTTTTTTTTTAAATCTCGTTTTGAAAGTGAAGCTGAAAATGTAGGTTCAGCATGTTGGTGGGAATAAAACCATTATCCTTGTGACAGGCGGCAAGCTTGTGGCTGCATGTGGAGCAACGATCTCGTGTGTGCAGGCCCTGTCCTTGTGAGCTAATGCACGCCCACGAGAGCTGGAGTGGGAAGCAGTTCTCCCCATGGGCGTGTGCCCTTACCCTGCAGACCCTTGGGCTGGGGGGTTTATGTCCCTGTGGGAGCTGTGGCTGTCGCTGCTGCAGCGGTTGTGTTTCCCCTCAGTGTGCTGAACCATGATATTTGCTCATGTCAGGAGGCTCAGGGCTTAGACGGATCAGGCTAAACCCCCTGGCTCACTTATGCAGGTGGTGGTATTTTTTTTTAATCCTAATTCTGGATTCTCATGTTTTCCCGTGGCTCAATTCACTTTATAAAGGTCAGCCCCTGGCTGCTGTCCCTGCAGGAGTTCCTTGACGAACTCCAGCACATTGTTTCCCTCCAATCTTGATTGAACATAACCAGTTGCATCAAGATTGGGTACAAATAGGTGAGACACTGAGAGGAAAGGAGACTTGGCCTCTCTCCCTGGCTTGCCTTTGCTGAAGTTCACATGCAGGAACTGTCCTCTCTCCCTGGAGTCTCGTTTGTGTCCTTATTCAGTTGTTAATCCCTATGTAGAAGAACCAAAGTTTGCTTTGGGAACCTGCATGGATTTCAGAACTAATAGGTGGGTTTGGCAGTTAATAATTCAGCTCTAAATATGCTTGTCATCTTATAGCTTGACATGGTAATATCTTGGCTCAGGAGTACTTCCATTTGTCCAAAGATTATTTATTGTGTAAAATTCCCACAGGCACAAATATTGGAAAGTTCTCCTAACTCCCTTCAGGTGCAAGTTGCCTCCCTACTTTCCCTTTCAGCAGTTCTACGTATGTTTGTACTAGTTTTGGTTCAAGGCCTTTAGTAATTAGTTACCTTGCCTGATCCTAGGAGAGCCCCCTACATGCTGCCTGTTTTCCTGGCTTGGGAGACTGTTTGGGATTATTTCTGTACTTATTGCCTGCAGATGGATGCATTTCCCATTTTTCTTTTTCCCATTCCGATGAACAGCCCTCTCAGAAGTCACCCATTTTCTTCATTTCTCAGAACTACCCAAAGTTCAAGAGTCACAGGTTGTTTTGACTACCTCTGCTTCTGAGGCCTGAAAGCCCTCTAAAGGGGGCTGGTTTTCCAGAAAGTTTCCTGGAACTCAAAAGCTGCTTCACTACATCCAGCCAAAAAGTGGAAGCAGTTCAAGTCCACCGCTGGAAATATCAACACGTGTTTGGCACAGCATGCACACACAGAGTGAGGCCATAAACTTCAATACTGTAGGTCACTTCTTCGGGTACAGCTGTATCCAGGTGACTGTTTCATTTTCTAGTCTCATTCTTTAATTGTGAACTTTATTTAAGACAAAATCAATAGCAGTGTGACAGTGAAATTTGTGTCTTTGACAGGCTTTCCTCTGCTGTCCAGCAAGAAACCTGGGCTACACTGGAAGGACAGCTCAGGCAGCTGTCAGAGCGGTCCTGGAGAGGGTCATTCTCAAACACAGGTATGAAGGGGAATTGTGTAGAGCAGAGTGAGTGTAACTACTGTTGGGGCATGTCTGCTCTTGGCAGGCTGTCTGGGCATCCTCTGCTCTTTCAAATAGTTTTGGTCCTCCCAGTAACCACTGAAGTTGGAGTTATGCTTGTGCTGTACGTAGGGAGGAGAACTTGCTCTGGTTTGATGTGATCATTCCCAAATCAAGCGTCTAAGTCACGTTGGCTGTGGGACTCAGACCTTGACTACATGAAGACTTAGGCACTAATCTGTGGCATCAGTCATGAAATCATAGAGTGGTTTAGGTTGGAAAAGACCTCTAAGATCCTTGAGTCCAACCATTAACCCAACCCTACCAGGTCCAACACTAAACCATGTCCCCAAGTGCCACATCTACGTGTCTTTTAAATACCTCCAAAGATGATGACTACCCCGCTTCCCTGGGCAGCCTGTTCCAGTGCTTCGCGACTGTTTCAGTGAAGAAATTTTTCCAAATATACAATCTAAACCTCTCCTGGCACAACTTGAGACTGTTTCCTCTCATCCTGTCACTTCTTACATGGGAGTAGAGACCACTCCTCACCTCACTACAACCTCCTTTTGGGTAGTTGTGGAGAACATTGAAGTCTCCACCAGATCTTCTTTACTCCAGGCTATACACCCCCAGCTCCTTCAGCTGTTCCTTAGTCCTACACTCCAGAACCTTCACCAGCTCTGTTGCTCTTCTCTGGACATGCTCCAGCACCAAAATATCTTTCTTGTAGTGAGTTGCCCAAAACTGAACACAATAGGTAGGCACTGCCACCCTGTCCTTCCCTCACAATGTAGGGCTTAGCTGCCACTGGGATTTCCTTTGTGCTTCTACCCAAAGGAGAGGAAATCCCTGAAAGCTCTGTCCTGTGCTCCTCTCAAGCTGGCTGTTGGTCTCTCCATGTGCTCATGGGGCTGGATGGAAACGTGTGGCACGTTGGGCAGGGCCATGTGCCAGCAGCAATGGACAGGGTGGGAGGGTATCACATCTGAGTGGCTGAAATGCCCCTTGATCACTGGGCAAAAGCCAAGTCTCAGCTGTGACCTTGGAGGGCAAATGTGGGAGCCGAGGTAAGGGCTTGCATGGTGCCAGCCATGGAAAACCTGGCATAGGAGATGAGGGATTTCTGCTGTTACAGCCTTTAGACGTAGGTGTCCCATGTCTAATGTTTTGCCGTTGCCTCCAGTGGGCAGAAGATTTCTAAACTTGCAGCAGGCCCTGGGCTCCACACCTCCCACTGCTCAGGAGTATCTTCTGCTTCCTTCAGGACCTAGGATTTCCATTGTGTTTTAGGGGGTTTTAATTTATTTTTTTTTAAGGCTGAGGAAGGGTGGACCTGCCCTAAGTGCAGCACTGCAGCAGGAGTCATGACCGACCATCCTGAGCAAAGGGCAGCACGTCCCTGGACTCGGAGCCAGGTGGAGCGGGGGCCAGCCCACATCCTCTGTGCCCTAGCCAGTTGTCCTCACCCTTGGGTTAAACATGATTAATATTGCTTGACCTCAGGGCCTGTGTTAGAAAAAAAATCAACTCTTCCACATCCATGGTGGTAGTTGAAATCCGGTGCAGGACAATGGGGCCAGGAAGGGAATGTCCCAGGGGAGCAGAGCTGCACAATGCTGCCTGGCCACTCTGTGCACAAGGAGAGGTGACTCCATGCTGGTCCTGTTCTACAAGCAGTGCTTAGTGGCCTTTTTCTTAAAGAGTAAGGATTTAAGAGGGTGTTCATTTGTTTGTTGGTGTTTCTTACGTTTTTCTATCCGAGATCCTGGCCAGTAATAACTTTAGTCTTCAAATACAACTGTGAAATGGAGAGGAATCATTACTGCTTTAGTTCTGTTGCTTATGGGAAATGAAAAGCCAGACAGATTAATGGCTTCACCCATGTGAATTTGGGTATCTGGCACGTAAATGGAAACAGGAATTGAATCTTCATGCCATCCATTATCATGTAGCACTGATGATAAAATGCCTCCCTTTTAAAAGGAAGAAAGAACTCAAGTTTTGGTCTGCTTGCTAGATAATGTGGATATTTATCCTTGTTATGATCTTCAGCAGAAGATTTTGGTGGCTGAAGTAATGAATTTAAACCTTTACCAAAGGAAAAATGTCATGAGAGAGAACTAACTGAATTGTTTAAAACTACCAACTTGCATTTTATAGTCTTTTTTGGGTCACTTCTTTAATTTCTACCTCTGCTATGTAAGCATGCAGTATTATAAAAGCATTTGGAGAGGATGGATGATGGTCTCTTGTGCTTGCTCAAAACACTAAGGTGATGCAACTGGAACACACATAGGAGAATAGAGCAGATCTGCTCCTGTCTATTTTCCTGGAGATAGGATTGTTTCTTTCTAAGGAAAATATTAAAGGCAATTCATAAAGATATGACAGATTCTTAGCATGAATGACATTATTTTTAGACTATTAAAATCTCTAGTAATATTAGATCTCCACTCCTAGAGAAATATTAGCCCTTTAGGAAGAAAAGCTTTTCTTAATTTATTGTCATCTACATATGTTTGTGTGTATAAATTAAATATTATGTTTATTATTATTATGTTAGGATTAAAATGGATTAAAATATTATATGAAATAAAAGATACACAAGGCAGTATTTTTCTATCACTAAAATAATCTTTTTTTTTTCATGCACATCACAGTCGGCTTCTTACAATAGACCACCAGAAACTACAAGAGGACATTTGAAACCCTACAGCCCAGTATTTCAAAGAAAAGAAAAAGCCAGAGAGATGCCTGAAGACACATATTGCTATGTCCCTCATTGTTCTTTTCAGAGCAGCACCACGGGTTCTCCAAGGACCTCTCCTGGAAATGGGAAACTGGTTGTTGATTTTTATGAGCCTGAAGATACAGATAGTGACTCTGGGACATACTCAGCCCAGGACTGGAAGGAAAAAACATGGAAACATATCTCTGAACCAGAAGGTTTTAATAAGAAGACAAAAGAGCTGTCATCTCTGGATTTGAAAGGAAAAGATGGCAAAAATACCAAGCACCCAGAAGAAAAGCCTGAGCAAGAATTAAAGGAGGCAAAAAAGAGGCTGGGGCTTTGTACTCGACAGCAACCCTTGTTTGACTCAAAGAGAACAGACTTCGGTGGAACCAGGGCAGGGTATCAAAACAATGGAGCCCAGTGGACTACAGAGAAGAAGGATGATGACTGCAGAAAAAATGTGTTCAAACGATCTGGTTGTCCTGTGCCTCTTGAAATTGCAGATGATGCTCTGCCAGCTTTGCCAGTTGGCACAAAAGAGGCTCTGAGGAGTCTGGATGCAGTTTCCAGGCAGCACACAGCCAGCCAGCCAAAATCACCACTGCGGATCATTGCCAATGCTATCAAAAGGTCCATTTTGGAGCCTCTAACCTCAGCTCCAGGAGGACTGAAGCAGGACTCAGAGAGCAAAACCAAAGCCTCTTCAGAACAAGCTTTCTTCAGCTTCCCTAGTGCTTCTGCTTATTCCCTAAGCCAAAGGAACACTAACAACAATAACACTCAGATACAGGATCCTAAAGTAGGGGAGTGGGCAGGAGAATATTTAGGAGATGGAAGCCCTTTCTCAAATCCATCTAATTTTTCTGTCAGCTCCAAAGAGATATCTCTAAGGGATTACAGTGAACAGGGATCCCTCACATCCTCCAGTCCTCACATCAGGCTTCCCAACACAACCAGTATACCTCAGAAATCATCTTGCACTAGGATGGAGGATGTCCCAGGACTCCTAGAAAAGTTTACCTTTAAAGACACTCCTCCAGGGACTCCCATGGATGACATGTGTATCCGTAAGGAAAAATCCACTCTTCTTTCATCTCCAAAGCCCAAGAACACCTCCAAGGACAATCTGGATGACTCTGCACAAAAAGGTAGCCTTGGATTGCTCTTCAGTAGACTGAGAAGTAAAGCTCATGAAAGAGAAGGGAATTCCTTGATGTCATCTCTGCTTTTCCCAAAGGACCATTCTCCAGACGACAGGTTGTGCTACCCTTCCACAGGTGAGGACCTGAGTGGAATTATTTTGTTGCTGCTATTATTATCATTATTATTGTTGTTATTATTATTGTGTAATAGCACTTAACCTTTAAAAGACCTGTGCGTGATCATGCAAACACATATCTGTTGTATGTTATGTTTAATTTGTAGTTACTTTCTACATAAGAAGACTTAATAAATATAGTGTAATAAGCACCTTATTGAACCGTGGTGACCTATTTGAAAGTCTATCTGGGCAGTGATTAAAAGGCATCAATTTTCATGTTTGCTTGCAAGAACGAGGTTAGTATTAAAATTGCAGGCAAGTCCAAGAAATGTTGATGTCAGACAAAGAGCAGTCTGAGTAATGTGAGCATAGGCTCAAAAAGAATTAGCTGCAGCGCAGTTTCAGGGATGAAATATGAGGCATGAGAGCTGCACCCACCTGTCTTTCTCCGTGATCCATCTTTCCATGAGCCCACTGCAGAAAGACTCAGTTATTTAACTGAATAACCTATTGAGTTTTATTGGCATACCTGTTTGTTTCCTACTTTATTAAATTGCAACCCCAAATATAACCCCAAACTGCAGCATTAAAATCTGTATGTAAAATGTGAAGTCACTGAAATGTACCCACTGAGCTGCCAGACCCTTTGCATCCCTTCTGCTTCAGAACTGCTGCATAACTGTGAGGAAGAGAGACAATATGTAAGAGACTTGATTTGAAGCTCATTAAAATTGATAGAATAACTCCTGCTCTCATTCCTGAATTCTTGGGTTGGACTTTGGAGCATCCTTTATCTAACAGCTCACAAAACCAGGCATCCCCATTGAGCCAGAAGTTGCTGAGGACTGCACTGAAGCCACAGAGAGTTGCTATTCACACTTGTAAAGCTGTGGCCCTTAATTGGAAGCTTTTTTGGAGTTTATACCTGGTCATCACCCATCAACTGAGCCAAGCTGACTTGCTCTTAACAAAATGTGCTCTTAACAAATTGGTATGCTGTGGTCCTGCTAAAATGGGAAAAGTTCTTGTTAGGTATGAATAATGCTTTACTTTATTTATGTTTTAAATATTTTGGGAAAACACGCTGGTTTGATATGTGTTGCATTCCTCTGCTATGCAAGCCAAATGAGGATTCTTAAATTGTTACAGTTATTGACTATAGCCATTGAAAAATCTGTTTAGATTAAAAAAAAAAAAGTTAAGCTCTGATCTAGCCATTGCCCAGTAATCTGTCGTTTTCAACATTTCAACATTGCAGCTCCCTGAATTTTTTCAAAATTCATATTTGAGTAAATCAAACTGGTGAAGAGCCAAGTCCTGCTTGGCTCTCTAAAATGACATTTCTGTCTCATATTGGCACTTGTCTGAGGCCCAGACTTGCCAAACTTCAGTCTGATGACGAGCTTTAGCCTACATTTCATGTCATTATTTTTCTCTCTTGAAATTTACCATAAATCACAGAAAACTTCTTTAATGAAAAGAAAGTATTCCCAGCACCTTGCAGAGAGCAATTTAATGAGACTCCTTCTCATACTTCTCTTGGCTCTTTATAGTGGGACTTTTCTATCCTGTTTGAGGCCAAACTGTTTCTGTGCAAATATGGTTGGTATTACATTACACTGGCGTTTTCTCCCTCAGTGGCTTGTGGAGCCAAAGAATGAGCTGGATGATGAAAGTCCTTGGGCTTGAGATGAGACTGGGCAAGCTCACTGCAGAGAAATCCTCTGAGGAGTAACCAAATACTTAGAAACCAATATTCCAATATTGAACACTCCTGAACTGAAAAATCTTTGGAGGCCGGGCGAGTGTTGAGGGGAGGAATCACATGCCTGTAGCATTCCTTTAGACATACAGTGCTGGAAACAGATTGGAAGGACCTTCCAGTCTCACCCTACACCTCTACTCCTGTGCTATGTGGCTCATCTTTCCTTACACCTCGTCTTACTTCAGCTGCAAACACACATCCAGATGTCTTTCCTATGCTGATGACCCAGGTGTCTGTCCAAACTAAAACTATGTTCTGTCCTTCTGTCCTCTCCTGCCAAGTGTTCAGCCCCCAGCTGAAGCTCAGCATCAAGAATCATGAGATCTTAGCAGCAGATTGCCTGTCATTCAAACTTACACCTGCAGTTGCACCTTCCTTGTGGATCATACCAGTTTCTCATGTCCAGACCTGCTTTGAAGGCTTTCTGCCTAACACTATCCCTCTGTTTCATAAGAACAGCTCCTTGGAAATTTTGGGCCATTCAAAGATCCAGGTGGACAGACTGCTTGTGTGAGACCTAGACAGAGCTTACTGAAGCAATGGGGGTTCATGCACACTTTTCAGTGAGAGACTGGCTTAAAAAAAAAAAAAAAAAACAAGCCAAAGTTTGCTGTAGAATAGACAACTGTGCAAATAACCACACTGGAGTTCCTAAGTGCAATTCCAGATTTTTGATATCTTTGAGGCTTTTGTCTTTTGATTCCGCCTTTGTGTTTCAAACTGCAGTGAACACCTCCCAAAAAATTGATCAATAAAAGTGTTCAATCAGATGATTAACTGTTCTCTCCTAAGCCTAGTTCCCCTTTTGAAATGCAAAAAAAATGCCAAAGTGCCATATTAATTACTGGTACGAGAAGTCATTAGTACAACAGGAGAACAACAGTAAAAAGAGATTTAAGCCAGGTTGTGTGAGTGTAGCAGTCAACAGTGTTTGTAGGGAGACGAAGTGGTGGATCCAGGGATTACTTTTTATGTACAGACAGGCCTTCTGAAGACCAGTCCCTAAGGGTGGTTGTTTGTCAGCAGATGTGTGTGTGACTCTGGGTTTGCTTCTTGATAGAGATGGAGACATGGGAGGAGTATTTCTGTCCCTGACAAAGTAGGGATCATGTGAAAACATTCCTAGAATTGTCCCTTACATGAGATGAGAGTTGTTATAACTCAGTGTGTATGTGTTGTTTACATGGCATATATCATTAAGCAGGACAACCAATTCATCTGATGAGAAAATTTAGCACTTTGCTGATTTTGTGGTTGAAAAAGGGATTTTAGATTGAAAAGGGATTGCTTGCAAATATCAGGTTCCCGTTACTGCATCTTTGTACCACAGAAAGTCTGTGTTTGCAGTGCTCTGGTCAGCAAGGACACTGCTTTCACAGTGATTTTGTATTTTAGCATGGGAACTGAGGCAGTAGAAGATGAAATTTCATGTCTAAAACCACAGGAGAAATCTGTAGAGAAGCAGAGATGTGAAGTGAAATAACCAAGCCCTCTCTTGATTTCTACTGACCATTCTTTTCATCTCCTTCCTCATGCCAATTTCCATCTGGTTTTGAACATCAGTGCCCCAAGAGATATGTGTAACTTTGCCTCTCTGTTGTAAAATGCTGAAGTACTTACAGTGGTCATGATTAACTCCCATGACTTCTAAAAATATGCAATCTTGGACACTTACAGAGGAAGCCAACAGATTAGTATAACATTATGTTATAAAAACAGTTCCTGCTCCAAGACAGTTCTGTGTATTTAGGCTGCAGTCATTACCATGACACAAACACACCCCAGGAAAGGGAGGTTGAGCTGGGACAGGCAGACTGGCGGCAGTGATGGTTTTCCCTATAAATCTCCAGGACAATCAGCGGTGCTCCCACATGTAACAGAAGGGTAGCGCCTTCTTAACCTCTTCATGTAACATCTCACTCACTGTTCAGAGGCCTTCAAGTTTCCTGGGAATATGAGTACCTTGGATGTGTATCTTAAGGGAGAGGTTCTCAAAGCACTGCACTTTGATCCAGTTGATCCCCCAGAGCACAGTGAGGCATTCAGTGATGGCCTTCAGTGGCAGCAGACTTAGGCCAAAGTGTCTTTGATGCTCACCCTTGGATTGTCGAGCTGTAACAAACTGGCCATATGAAGGAATTTTAATTTTATGGGTATAACTTTTCCTCTCTCTTATGACACATATATATGAGGATACCATAGCACAGGATCAAGAATTGGAGGTTTCCTCCACCAGTATACGTTGAAGTGTATTCTGTGACTCTGTCAGGCTCACTAATATACATTTCAGAAATATTTTTCCTTTGCCCTTTATAGTTGAAGGGCAAAGGAACAAACTAATACTGTGACCGACCACTCCTAGTGATCCAAAGTCTTGTTGGATGGGGAGGAAAAGCTCTATATGTTAATTTGAAAGTTAGGGGGATGCTGGAGTACTTAAGAAGTAAGAAATATGTAATAAATAACACCCAATCTGAAGGGATGAGATGGCTGTAAAGATAAAATCCAAGTCTAGAAGACTTGAGTTAATATTTGGAAAAAAACCCATACGTCTTAGAGATCTGTTCTGTAGCCTATTGAGCTTTAAGGCTTGGCATATTTGAAGTAGACAAATTATTTTTGTGGCAGTTCAAAGTTTCAGATTTTAATGACCCAGTAAGTGTGAACGTCCCTAAGTTGAATATCTTTATGTGTGAACTCCTTGTCCAAATCCTCACAGCTGGTGGCTAAATTCTGCCTATCCCACCACTTTCTGTTTGAGGGGGTTTTTGGGTTTTGGTGTGGGTTTTTTTTGTTTGGTTGATTTGGTTTGTGTTTTTTTCAAAAAAATGTGGTATTTTTTTCTAGCTCTGCATGAAGCAAGTTCATTCTGTGAGGTAATTTCTTGCTATGGTTGCTATAGTTGTCTTGAAGTTGAAATTTGCATTTGGGGTACACTTTAGAGCATAGTTCTGGTCTCTCTCACGAAGAAATAGCCAAAGAAAATTAGCTGAGCAGAGCACTGAGTGGCTGCCCTTTTAACGTTGAAAGAAATGCACTGTCTCCCATTCTTTCTGTATCCGTGAAAAGTGGCAGGGCCACACATTTGGGAGCCAAAAACCTGACCTCTTATCCCAGTTCTGTCACTCTTTTTGCTCTGTGTTTCCAGACACCTCATGCTTCAGTTATCCCCGTTATATTAGCAAGAACATCAGTGCTGTGAAATGTGTTTGCAATAATGGGACAATGAGCACAGGTAGAACCATCAGGTGCCTCATCACTGAGTAGGCCATGTGTTCCTTCATTCTGCAGCATTCCCAGGTGGAGACCATGAAGGGTGCTGATCACAGTTGGGTGACTGTTGCCTCCCAGGGTTTTGGGTACTGGGTCCCTTGAGAGGCTGAGCTGTTTGGAGTAATCTAAATGGCTTTTCTCTGCAGAGCAAGGTGCAAATACCTGCCTCTCCACAGCAGAGAGGCATTGGGAGGAGGTTATGAATCTATTCCATGCACAAGCATCCTTGTGCTTATGAGATAGACCTTGGAAGTCCTTGGGGAGGTCACTGACCCTCTCTCTGTCCCAGAAAGACAGAGTTCCCAAGGAGGAAGCAGGTGCCCTTTTGTTAGAGCAGGCTGCTTTTCCTCCAGACCTTGTAATGCTTTTTAAATTATTGATATCACTCAGAGGGGAGGACAGGGGGAAGCAGTTGCTTATTCCCAGCACAGCTGAGAGAAGAAAGGGAGCGTGTAATTGCTTGTGTTTCTAGCCCTCCTGGGCTGTAAGGTTTGCCCTTTGCATACTGTGGAATTTGATTTCTCCAGTGGTATGACCACAGGGTAGTTACTTCAATCTTTTTGTTGCTCAGGGATAAGCAAGATGGGAGAGTTTACTCACTAAAAGGACAGATGCCTCCCACACCCGGGAAGGGCTGTATGTCTGACTGTCCCTGCTGGGGACAGAGATGGAGTGCAGCTGGGAAGGCACTCCTGTCCACAGAGTGTGGGGCATTGTGTGGCACTGGCCTCACCCCAGCAATTGTGAGCTGTCGGAGAGTCCCTGGCAGGTCAGCAAGCGGGAGCTGTGTCCCTCCTCCAAGATGTGGGGTGGCAACTTGGGCATTTCTGGAGTAGAGTCACCTGGGAGGCTGGAGACCCACCTGGAGGGCTGTTGCAGCTCCCTGCCTTCACTTGCAGGTATCTGCTGCCCAAGGACCTGAATCACAAAAAGGATGGTGAGACCCAAGTCTGCTCCACTGAGCCAAGCATGAGCTTGCAGCTTCATTGAGCACAAGGACTGGGTGCTTCTAAAACTGAGATTGCTGAGAAAAATCAGAATTTCTGCCTCAAATTACTTGGATTTGTATTTATTCTTTACTGTCTGGGGTGAATAAGTTTCATGGATCCTGATTTTAAATTAGGGCTAGAGACAAAAGTCTGCTCCAGAACAAGGCAAAGAAGAAACATTTACACTGGGAGAATGGGAAATAATTTTAATCTGAATACAACTTGCACCTAGAAAGCCAACTGTTACCTAGCAGATACAAAGAAAAACTAACACTGTTAGCTTTAAATAATGTACATTTCCAAGATGCCCAGCTGTTAATCATTAACACTGTAGCAGGTTGAAGCATAGAGACAGATGTTCCAAAAGCGGTTTTATTTTCTGAAATAAAGAGAATGAAGCTATGCATTAGACAAATTAAGAAGAAATTCAAATATTTGCACCCAGTTGAAACAAGATGCTGGAAAAACAGGCATGATAAAATTGCTGCAATTAAATGTAATTTAATTTATAATTCTGAAAGCATGCTTTTTCCAAGGGCAGGCTTTGAGTTTTCCTTATGGAGTGTACGTGTTGTTGTGATGTATGGATTTTCCTGACTTCTTATGGCATTTTAATCAACAGTCCAATGATGTGATAATATTCCTAAAGCAGAAAAATAAGTGACGTTTGTTTAGACATAATTAATGAAATATTTATGTTGCATGAGGCTGTGTGATAAAGCCTTGTTCTCTTAGTCCATTTGCTTCTGATTACATTTGTGATTTTTTTATATGACCAGACATTCTGACGCCAACTATTTTACACTGAGCAGATGTCATGTAGTAAAAATGGGTGCCAGATGCTACAAGCCACATAAGGGTAATTTGTTTAAGAGCTGGCTCAGACTTTGTGCATTCAATTACACTGTATAGTGAGCCTTATACAATCATTTGGGTAATATGGCTAACTTCAGATATACATTTTAATGACTGTTGAGTGCATTCAGAACAGCGTGCTACATGCAGGGTGCTCAAAGAATTAATTTAATTGTATGTAGTACCTAAAAAATATATATATATATACACAGGCAACTTTTGACAGGGATCAAAAATTTAATTAATGCTGTCAGCTGAATTTCCAAATTGCTCTAGGTGATGCTGATTAGAATTCAGGACAGGTGCAAAGTGTCTGTTCAAGTTAAAGAACAGTATTTTTTGCTTCACTGACTATTTTGTTCCTGCATTTTAGGATGTGAACACCTACCTGTCAGAAAACAAGCTAGTGAGTATTCGACTTCGTCCTCTGATGATGAATTTGAATTCAAGCCTTCATTAACACACAAGGTAATCTTTGCTTGGGAACAAAAGGGTATTTCCTTAGGTGGACTGTATTTAAGATTCGTCATGTGATTTTGATCTAAACCACACAGCAATTTCTCAAAGTGGGGATTGGGATGTTGGAGGTTACGTGTCATGGAGGGAAAATACATTAAAAGTCTTTAAGACAGATGAACACCAACATTTCTTTTTCCTCTTTGGGTCTTTAATTCCCCCAGGTTATACCAGTGTTGACAGAGGAGGTCTTAATTTGACAAGCAGGCATGTTTCACTGAAACCACTTTGAAGCTGCATTCTTAAGTGGCCTTAATATGTAGCCCAACAAGCAAACTGTTGAAAAAATTAAACCAAACAGATGCAGATTTCCTTTGGGGAAATACAGCTTCGTTTGAGAAGTGCTACAGGCAGGTTGCCTGGAAAACACTCTGTTTATCCTAATCAGCACAAGTGTGTGAGCCACGAAGCCACACCCAGACCCTTTACACCAAAAGGGCCGACTGCCCACCTGGGTCCTGAGCCCTCCCATGGCGAGCAAGAGCCGTGGGGTTAAAGCGCAGTGAACTCTGAGTACCCAGCTCTGGTGTGAGGGAACAGAGCTTTTGTTGACTGAATAGCTCGTGGGAAATGTGTTTACCTCTTTACTGTGAAGGATATCTGTGAGTGGAACTAATAATATGAGGTGGCCTTTCGATTTGTTGTCTTTTGGCGGGGCGGTGGGGGGGGGGGGTTGCGAAGAGGAAGGAAAACAAAGTACAGTACACGGAAAAGTCAGCCAAGCTGAAGTGAGACTTTGAATGGAAACCTAGTTGTGCAGCTCCAGAGGAACCAAAATACCATGAGGAAGAAGCACAGCAATGTGTGACAGCGCTTGTCACCAGTGGCTCAGTGTCAGGATGCGCTGAGATGTCAGAAATCTTCTCTTGTTCTTCCTGTTACGGGAAGGACAATCTATAGCAGGATAACGTTATGGTGAATTAAATAAGGTTTAAACAAAACAGAGAAAAGAAGAGAGACATGGGAGCCACCTGGATCAAAGCAACCCCCAACAGTCCAGGCAGGGAGAAGGCAGCTCTCCAGGCAGCTGCCAGAAATGGAGTGAACAAGCAGCTGTCACACACGGACATTAGCAGCGATTCAGTTTTGATGCACATGCCCCACTCAGCATGTTTCTTTCAGCTGCCTCCTACCAGTTCTGGCTGCTATTTTGTCAGTGCCACCACTGGTACCTGGCAAAACTCGGTGGGAAAACTTTTAGTGGCTTCCTGACTGTTTAATTATTTAATTATCTTGTCTACGGTGCTGATATATTCTGTCTCCTCCAAAACAGGAACACCACAGCCTTGAAGCACTTCAGGTTAGCTTGGGTCAAAGGCAAGACAGAGCAATGGCAGGCAATTCCCTAACCAGCCCTGCAGCATTTGCTGCCCAGGTCTCCTGGCAGCAGCAACAGGTGCCTGGGGAAAGGCAAAAACCTCTGTAATGCAGTAGAGAAATGACACTGGGGAAGGTTTCATGGGGCTTCAGGTGGTATCCTGTGATGGCTGGCTGTTTCAGCTGTGTCCCTTACTGTGTTACAAGAGATCCAAAGTGAATTTTTCTACTTAGCAGCTGTAGCAGTAGAAATGGGTTTGAGTTTCCTTAAACTGGTGCTTCCCTCACCCGGTGCCTGGCCATGTATGGTGGGATGTTGTATAGAGTCAGCTTTGTGATTCAAACATTTTTAAAGATAGACACAGTTCACACTCACTTAGGGTTGCATTAAGAGCTTGTAATGATTTGAAGTCAATGTAAGCAAATGCTTGTTTCATTTTGGTTAGGTTGCCCCAAGCACCCTTCAGTAGCTCACCTCACTTTGAGCTGGGGGTCAGGTTAGATGATCTCCAGAGGTTTGTCCCAACCTCAGCAGCTCTGTAATTCTGGGGAAGGTTTGAGGAAACCTGTAATTAGTGTACTTATGCTTTGATTACCTTTTCTTTTCTCTCTCTCTCTTTTGTAGGCAAAAAGAGCTCTCAGGAGGAGAAGGAAGCTGGAGAAGGAGACAAAGCAGTTGATTAAACAAGAGGAGCTGAAGAGGCTTCACAGAGCACAGGTGAAAATGTAGCTTGCAGATGCCCCCTTTGTCTCCCAAGAGTGACTAGTGAGGATGGGGGTACCCAAAGTGGGCTCTGCACCTCCCCTCACTCCTCGCTGCTGCTCACTGCCTTTTGTGCTCAAGTTCCCCCAACCATCAGGAGCAGGAAGGTGTATGTGGCAGGGCCCTGCATCTCTCTCTGTGTGACAAATCCACGTGCGCCCCAGGAGATCATCCTAATTTTGTAATTGTGTGTGAAGAACAATAGGGAACAGTGACTGGCTATAAGAGGAGAATGAACTGAAAAGAGAAAGAGAAGGGGAAATAACATCAACCCCATAGAATGTAAGAAACTGAGCTACTACCTCTATGTACAGCAGGAGGATACAAAAATGTGGCAATGGCTTTTGTTCTCCCTCTGCCACAACAATGGAAGTGAACCGATTTCTTTTCTAATGATGGAATGTCACTTCATTTTGTACATTTTCTCTTCAGAAAATGCTGGGAAAGCTCTAGACTCTACTGAAGTGTTGTTATTTCCAGTTACAGTTTAAAATTTGTGAACGCACTTCTGCACAGTTTGGTCTCAGATGTGTTTTAATACAAAGTGGGAGCAACTATGTTGTAGTTTTTATCTGAGAATTGTAAATTATCTCAAGGTAAAATTAGATGCCTACATGCCTTCTCTGACTTTACTGGTTTGGGGAAACAATCAAGTTCAAACTTTTTGAGTCATCTCACGTGTTTGTTAGGCTGTTGTTGAGGGTTTGGCTTGGAATGCCCTAACACAGCCTGAAATGGGAACTGCTGAACATACATCTTTGACATTTCAACCTTTTAAGGTGTTTCATGCCTATTAGCCCCATGACACCTCTGAAAAATCTTATTTAAAAAGGGATGGACAATGAATGTGGAAGTCCTTCCTGAAGTGCCACTGAATTATCACTTCTTGGCTGTTAGACCCTTTTCTTTCTAGGTTGAAAGCTTGTGAAATATGAAAGCAAAACAAACAACAAAAAACCATGGACAGCAAAATAGATAGCAGAGCTTTCTAGCTGTAAACCTTCAATATTTATATGAGCTTTATTCATGTAACATCACAGAATATGTGTCTCTGAATATGTTAAGGTATTGACTTTTTACACCCTGTGAGACCCAGATGATCTCTATGATCTCTGATTTACAATGGGAGAGCTAAAGCTCAGAAAAACTGATGTTCTTCTGGTACCTATCATACTTACCCACATAAAAATGCCATAGATACCTAGCGGAATTATTAAATTGCTTAGGCGCCTGGTACACTCAATGAGTTGGCAAGAGCCAGGACTCCTCTGAGACCTTTTCAAGCTGTTTCTCTAACCACTGAGACCATCTTTTGTCTCTGAATTCTGAAGTTATGTCTGTAGCATTTATATCATTACAATTTTGCAGGCAGTCCAACGCCAACTAGAAGAGCTGGAGGAAAGACAAAGAGCTCTGGAGATTTCTGGTGTCGAACTGGAGAGAGAACTAAGAGGAGAAGCAGGTACACAGAGCAGTTGTTTTTTGTTTGGCAGTGTTTTTTTTAACCTGTTTCAAAGCAGAGGGATTTAATGATTATCATGAAATAATTTGGTGTGAAATCTGAAAAGAAACAGTAACTGGAAGGACAAAAATAATTGTTTAACCTTTTTCTTTGAGCTCTGTTAGCTCACACATCTTTACATTGAATGCTATGAATTTTTTGTTTGGTATCACAGATTTGGAATTATTTACCTTGCTGTTGAACCTGAAGCTATATTTTGCCCAACTCCCCAACGTGCCTCTTTTTTTTTTTTTTTTTTGAGTCCCATCCTGAGCTTAATTTCATCCTTTATAGGGAACCAGTGAGGTTTCCAGGAGCTGTATCTCAGTTACCAAGCCAGCAGCAGCCTGTGCCTAGTAACAGAGTCCTTAATGACTTCTCCTGGAGTGTGAAATGCCATTAATATGATTAGAGCCAGTGGCCATGCTATAGCAACAGCAGCATGCAGGCACAGAGGCCTTAACAGTGCAGCTTTTCCCTCAATGGGCAGAAGATTACAGGGACGTCATCCTGGCCTCAACCAGAAGCAAGATTTTCCCTCTGATGAGCTGACAGTCCCAGCACCCAGGGCTGCAGCATCCTGCCACTGGCCCAGCCTTGCCACTGCTCCCCAGCACACAAGGGGTGAAGCTGGGGAGACCTTCTGGAGAGGGAAGGGACATCTGGGGGCTCCTGCCAGGCTCAAAATGAGGATGGGACTACACATGCCTGTAAGGAACTTCAGAGGGGGCTGTGGTTCTGTGCTGAAGGGACTCTGGTGAGCTGACAACCTGAGTGAAACGTGTCTTTATTTACCTCTGTGTCAGAAAACTGAACCTTGTGCTTTCATGACAGGCAGTTGCACAACACAGAAAACCTAGATATGTTTTGGCACCTAATCTTGTTGTTGTCTTAGCCAGGCAACCCAGCCCAATTCCTACATGCTGGCCTTTTTAATGCCTTATTTCATAGCAGCTGTTGCCCCTAGTCAGTTCAGCAAGAGAGCATTTACCTTGCCTTTTATATTTATTTACTAATTTTCTAGAATTGATAGTGTCAACCTATTTCAAATGTTATTTAAAAGGTTAGCATCTTTTTTCTTAAATGAAAGCATAACCTTTTATCAAACTCTACCCCCCCTACTGCCTGTGAGAAAGAGATGTATAAAGGTGGTTGTTTTTTGGAAACCTCAAAAATACAGAAGGACAAGAAGGTTCTAGCTCTTGGGATAGACACTGAATACCAGGATAAATGGCCTAAGACCACCTCTTGTTTTTGCTGTTTTGACAATCGCATTTCCTAAAGAAGGCTGTCTGCCAAGAGATCGATGCTTCTCATTCTCTTACCATCCTTAGTAATTGGATTGCCCTCATTAAGGTGAAAGTACTATTTTTTTTTTTTCCTCCCTGGTGATTGTTTGTGTGTAGGTGGCCAGTTACAAATAGGGCAGGTACTGAGACGTAGGATGTTACTGTTTCTGAATAACTCTCCTGGTGCAAAAGCATGAAGCCATAAGTTTCCCAAACAAAATGTGAGTGCTTTGCTACTTGTAATAGCATATGTGTAATGATGCAGGAATTGGTGAGCTTAATATTCTGTTCAACCTTCCTAAAAATAATGAGCATTATTGTTTAATGAATGACCAGTGTTTATTAGGTTAAGTTGTATTTAAGCAGGTCTGCGCTTATGCAATTGAAGTGATTTAATAGGTATTATTAAGGCAATTAGAAAACGATCACAGTTCAGCAATAATATTGAGCTGCAAAGGTTGTGAATAACCAAATTTAGAGGCAGGCCTGCAAACACTAGTCTTCAGTGACATTTACGCAACTCTCCTCTAATAATTCTGTAAGCCTGGGATGAATGGCCCCTTTGTTAGGGGGAGTTATTCATTAGCTCCTCAACTGAATTAGAAGAGAACATGCGTGGGTGCGAAACAACTGCCATGAAGACTGATGAGCAAAATGAGGTTTTGATGATCTTCTGATTGTGGTGACAACAATTCATGCATTAAAAAAAAAAAAAAAAAGAAAAAAGAAATAATATCGGTCCTACAAATAATTTTTCATGCTCGTTATTCCCTTTATTCTGGTTCGAAATACCAAATAATAAATCACTGATGTACCGTTTCTTTGTTTTCCACTGACATTTGTGGAGGCTTATGGAGATCTTCTGCCTACAAGAAAACACAGAAATAAAAAGCTCGAAACATGTTTTCCACTGAAATTAGCATAATGGATCAGTTGACTAAATAAATCGTGAAGAATGATGGTAAAGAAAATCTACGTTGAGAGAATGTTAAGAAATCTCTCCATGTTTTAGAAGGTGAACAAATATTTGCACATGTTGTAGCTAGTTTTTGATTTCATAAGGAAAATATCCAAGGTTTCTTGGAATTTTCAATGGAGTCAAAAGAAATCTAGGGAAAACCTGTAGGAATAGGGAATATGAGGTTTAACTGTTCCTAAAAGGGTGCAAACTGGCCAAGCCCCCTTTACTGTGTCATGACTATGTGGAAGGACATCAATCTGGAGAACAGAAGGTTCAGGTTTTGAGGACAGTGTTCAGGAAACACTCCTCTGCAGCCTGTCATTCCCTCAAAAGGGATGGAAATAGAAATACTTATGATGTCATTAGAAGAATGTTTGACTTTCAAATGGATCTCAGTTAAAGGAGACTTGGGTAAACCAGGAGGAAGGGTTTGCTTTAGCAACGCTGTAAGGAAAAGACAATGTGGCTTGAAAAATACACTCACAAATTGTTTTCCCTCTAACCTTTAAGATCTGTTGCATTGCATTACACAGAATACTTCATGGGCTTGTTCTGCCCTTAGAAAGCATCAAGCACTCCATCACACTTAAAAACCTATTAACATTGTTAGTAACAAACATTTGAAAAGCTCAGGGGAAGAATGCCATTGGGAACACTTAGGGGGCATTCTGTGGGATGGAGGAGGTGGAAAAAAAATAGGGCTATTTTTATTTCAGCTTACACTGAGGATTTTGCTAAAATGAGTGTTTTTTTTCCAAAGTGCATTATCTTTACTTACCTCAATCAACCCACAATACACAGTCTTTTATTAGAGATACAGAGATTTTAAAGTGTAAGGTGGAAAAGTTAAAAGAAGGAATATTTTTGCCTAAATAAAAAAACCAAAAAGGATATAGTAACCCTCTCCCTCTGTGCAGGACTTATGCATACCTGTAATTGCAATGTCTTTACTGACAGTAAGATAGACCAAATTTTGATGATAACTTCTTATGGTGGCATACAAAGACCTAAGGCTCTGTTAGCTAATGCTGCATCTTGCATTGGATTTGTGAGAAACTGGCATGTTCCAGCAAGGACCGCTCCAGCAGCCACTGGGAAGACACTTATCACCACTTGCTGACCTGGAAGATCCCACAGGAAAACATCTATTACTTCCAAGTTTTAGTGGAATCAGGCAGAAATTGAAGCAAGTTTGCTCTGCCCTCTCCTGCTGTTTTATCCTCCTGTTCCATGGTGATTTCCAATTGGGGTCAAGTCCTGATGGAAAACTGCAGAACTGCACCCAAGCCACCACGGCTCTTGTCCTTGGCATGGGGGCCCATGTAATTCCTCTGACACTGGCAGGAAGTGACCTGTGTTTCCTGGGATAATGGTGGCTGGTGAAAGCACACGAATGGGCTGGTGATCCCAAACACCCAACAATCTCCCTCATGCTCAGGAAGATTGCTAAAGGGCTGCACTGGGTGCAGATCATTACTGCCCAAAGGAGCTGGGCTTCAAACTGCTGTTCTCTGGCTTTGATATAAAGTGAGGGACAGCTGGAGCTGTAGAGACAAGAGGGTAATTCCTGGGGCCAAGAATGAAGCACATTTCAAAACTATGACAGAAAGACATCAGAAACACTGCTGAACTGCCCAGGGCTCTGGTGTCTCTCCCCTTGGTAACCTAGTTTAATGGTGCTCTTGTAATTGGTGTCTCTGGAGCTTGAACCTGACACCTTTGGGTTTAAATTTCAGTGCTCTCGGTCATCTGAATTAAAGGTGCAGTCCTCTTAAAGGAGAAATCACATAAGTTTCCCACCACCAGAAAACAGACAAGCTGGATTATGGGGATTTTATACTTAGTTATCTAGCAGTGTGATGTAAGGACTGAGGAGCAGAGAGCTGTGTTCCCCTGCCTACTGGTGGCACCTCCTTTTGCTTTGTCGCAGGTCTGACTGTCCCTGCCTCTAACATGCGTAGTGAGGTCTGTAAATACCACATGCTGGGGCAGGAGCACAGGCTGGCTGTTTATGCCTCTGAAGGTGCCAGTGTGTCACCTAAATTGTTGCCTCAACCTGGACTAGTATAAGGTATTTTCTTCCTACGAGTGATCGCTATTTTGTGGCACCAGGCAGTGGATGTGCAAAGCAGACGTGGGAGGTGTGTTGACAGTGCCATCACTGTTGCTGTAATTCTGCATCTAAGGGTGATGGGGTGGTTTTGCTTTGTGGAGAAAATGAATGGAAAATGTGAAGTGATGAGGATGTTAAAAAGGGCAATGAGAAAAAGAAATACATATGTGCTCTGATTTGCCATTTGAAAACTCCCAGGGGTTTTTCATTGCCAAAGAGTTTTGTACAGATGGTATTTTAGGAGTAGTAAAGGCCCTCACCTGGTGAGAGAGATCCATCCTCCATCCTCCTTTGCAATGCAGAGACAAGCTCTGAACTCTTTGGGAGAAAGACCATCTCATGTTTTGTGTCTCTATACTGTCTACCAGTGATGCCCTGGCCCAAAGTGTTATAAAACCACCCAATAATCATAGATTTCTCATTCAAAGCAGATACAGATTTAGAGGCTAGTTGACAAATTAAAGGAAATTTCCTGATGTCCACTGGAAGCAGGGACTAAGTTGATACTTGCCAGCATGTACATCCTGAAGTCTGATTGTGTTAATGGGATATGGAATATCCACTTAGACATATAGTTCAGCTCTGAAGCCCAGTTTCAACAGAGAAACTATCTTATCAAAGGCAAAACTAAGAGAAAGACAAAGTGCCCACTAAAAAGAAAGTCTATGTGATTATTTGAAAGGAAAATCTTTAAACTAAAAGTGTTTCAAAATCTAGTGCCTCTTTATCTGTAATAAGCCACAACATTCAAACAAAGGTAGACAAAACTGTTGTGCCCAGTCATTATTGATGTAAGTTGCATACAGCAAAACCATCTCCATTTGAGCTCACATTGGCTTACACAAGACTATTGAAAGGGAACTTAATTGGCAAAAGCATTGGAAAGAAAGCTGGTAATGCACTCTAAACTCTCCTATTTTTTACAGATTCAGGCACAAAGGATGAAACTCAGATGCTACATGAGTGGTTTGAGCTGGTCCTGGAGAAGAATAAGTTAATGCGTTATGAGTCTGAGCTCCTGATTATGTAAGTAAAGACAAGGATTAGTATTAAAGACGAGGAGGGGAGAGGGGTAAAAGTGTACTCACAATACACCTGAACACCTTGCTGTGTGCTGCAGTTTGAGACAGTTCTGGAATAAACACACCCAGAGTAGCTACGATCTGTTTTGAACACAGATTTGCGGTTGAGCCCTCCTCATCCTTCCCTCTTGCAGTGGTTCAATTATTTCAATCCTATATGATGCTCTGAAACAACACAGCATATAGATGCCTTTACATCACATGGGTTTAACACTGGGGCACTTTCTCCTGTGGAAGAAAAGTAGTCTGACAAGTTAATCTCAGTTTTTACTGGACGTAGGAAAAAAAGATCCAGGAATTCACTACAGCAGCGAAACAAGCAGATAAATCCCGCCTCAGATGCCACTGTTGTGGTTGATGGAAACAATATTTTCTGTAGCTCCCTCACCTCGTCTTCTTGGAAACACACCCAAGAGACAGGCGGAGGTGACTCTCAGCTATTTTCTCTGCTATTTGTGGGCAGTGTGGGAAGGCAATGAGAGCTGCAGCAATCATTGCTCAGCCCTGGATTTCACACCAGTGTGGGCTGCTTGTTGCTATTTATCAGTTTCTCCCCATCTGTGCTGATGCTGCCAGGGGCCAAACCTTTTCTTGCCCCTTCAATTGCCATTGGGTGTTTCGGTAGCAACGCTTCCTGCTCACACTGCCTGCAAAGCGGAGTTAAAAAAGCAAAAGCAGGCAGCTTTCACCCCCACAGGACACAAAAAGTTGTTGTCTGGATGCGTTCACGTGTGTTAATTCCTTTGCCTCAGGACCTGTTCCTGTGCAGAGGGCCTGGCAGGGCCCTTCGTGCGTGGGAGTGTTCAGCCCTATCCAGAATTACACTGTGGGTGCCACCAACAAAGCACAGATGGTTAAAAGCCTTGAGTATTGCGCTGTATGAGGGAGCTGAATCTGATACATGATGCAAAAGGTGGTAATGGTACTTCTGCTGTGGAGATACTGGCATAGGCAAACCTTTTAGACTTCCCATGAGGAGAAAATACAGGATAAACAGAACACAAAATCTCTTGGTTGAAATAACATATGTGTCTTTACTGGAAAACAGCTTATTCTTTAACATACTTTTTGCCGTACCTAGAGCCCAAGAGCTAGAACTGGAGGACCACCAAAGCAGGTTGGAACAAAAGCTGAGGGAGAAAATGGCCATTGATGGTAAGTCAAAGGGGACGGTGTTCTCCAGTCCACAGTGACAGACTGTGCCTGTGTGCATCCCTGTTTGCTCCAAAAAGGACCAGGATGGCTGAGGCTCCTGTGCTCTCTGCCAGTGCAGCTCAGCCAGCAAAATGTGACTTGTGAGATCTTCTCATCTGACTCCTAGTGAAGACAGCTGAGCTGACCTGCCCAGCTCTACACTGAACTGGATCAGAAGCACTGCACGTGTAATTATGCTAATTGTGCTCTCCAGGCATTAATGTCCAGCTAACATGCAATGATGGGCAGCAGTGGAAAGTAACTTCTTCAGCCACCTGAATAAAAGAGGTTATCTGCTTTTGTGAAGCATTGCTGGCTGCCACAGCATTTTGGAATTGCTTTTAGGTACTTGGGATGACAGTTTGGGCTTGTCCTGTCATTTGATCTTTGAAAAAGGAGCATGGGGAGGAGGAATCAAGGGGCAAGAGGGGTTCCAGAGCACTGAATACTCCAAAATATCCTGTTGTGTTTAGGCATGTGGATTGTAAGTGAAGGCAGTTTTCAATACATTTTCTGAAAAATACTTCCTATTTTCTTACAGGTACTACATTTCATTTTGGGCTTTTTACCTTATAAACTAAATTTAAACTCCATCTTAATTGTTTTTATAAACCAGCAGGGCTTTTCCTATCCCTTCCAGTCCAAATTTTGTTAAAAGGTCTACTCTAGACGTTAGGAACCTTAATGGTCAACTTCAAATGGCCTAAATGCAGGACAAAATTTCCCTGAACTATAACTTGAAAAGTATTAACTGCTATTGCCTTCATTTGTCATTGACTATAATGTTTATTCAAGCTGTGCTCTAACAGTTAAAATGCAAACAGATTTTAATCTCTTTTTTATGATCTTTTAGACAGCCTTAAAGATGAGGTGGATCTGAATGAGGAGGATGAAATTTTTACTGAGATGATGAAAGTGGTTGAAGAAAGAGACAAACTTGTGTGTACCTTAGAGGAGCAGAGAGTGAAAGAAAAAGCAGAAGACCAGCACTTTGAAAGCCTTATTTTATCCAGAGGCTACCAGCTGAGCAGGATTTAAACAGCCACATGCAAATAAACATCATTTCAGCAACATTCCCAATCAGAGAGATACAGTCTTCTGAAAAATGAAGGAATTCAAATTTAAAATCAGCTTATTTGGGAAACATGTCATTCTGTTATCAAAAGCCTTTAAGCAGTTCTTTTGCTCATACTGGAGTGAGTCATTTCACTGGCAGCTTAAAGGATCACTGGAATACAGATTTGGACTGAATTTGCCTGTCTGATGGGCATCAGGGTCTGTGAAAGGGAAATCAGAGCTCTATTATTCTCTTGGAATTTTATTTTAATGCTGAAAGTAGAGTTTCTGAGGAACGTGATGACATCACTTTGTATTTTTGAGACAGCGTTACTACCCATCTGTTTGTCTGAATCTGTGTGTGGTTTTGTTAATATTTTGGCACAGCCAAGCCATGGTCAACTATGCAAAAGTCAGGAAACAAGCATCTCATATAAAAATAGGATTAGTTTTTATTTCTGGTGGAGGAAGAGTCATTTGACTAATGACTACATGTAAGCACTCACTAAAACTACTGTAAATGCAATGTCAGAAATTAATTTTTCAGGTATTTGTAAGTTTTATTGCACTGTGTGTTTTTGAACAAGGAGTTAAAGCGATATTAAATCCCTACATTTTGTAAAATGGTAAGGGATTATCAAAGGGGTGACTACCCTTCAAGCTGTTACATGCTCAAAAAAGTTTCTGTATGTCAGAGATTAAGGTCTTTAAAATACAATAAAAGATCATTTAAAAATAGTAGTCCAGACCCAACTGATATTTATAGGGTAGCCTTAATATGGTAGACTTTACAATTGCTTGATAAAACACATCACAAGTTGTACTGTAGGGAGCGATGGCTGGTACAGCAGTTAAAGATCTCCCTGAGAATAATTCCTGAAAAGGACTGCAAAAAATGTTGAATTTGTAATGCCAACATTTGATAGAAAATGTTGTGGCTGTATTTAAACTGCATTTATCTTCCTACTTAAGAATATATGCATCTTTTTAGCTTAAAGGAACTGTCTCCTATCTTTTTTGTACATGCATTTGTAGATATTGGCAAAACAGTTGTGCAGAAATTCTCCTGATTTAGGTACTTTCTTAAATCTGAGGTAATTCTGCAATTTAAGATTGGTAGTATTCCCAACTGTATGTTTGATGCACTAGATTTTCAAACTGGAAAAAAACCCAAAACGAAACAAACAAAAAAACAGAAACTGAAAGACTGTTTATTTTTGAATATGATTTTACCTCATGCTCTGAGAAGATTCGATGTTCTCATTATTTCATGAATGGTGCTAACGTGCAGCATTTGCCTACGGTACAGCCAAAGATAGAAGCATTCCTGTCACAAAAGCTTTAAACTAAAAAACCTCTTGGTAAGTACTTGCAGGATAACAGACACACTGGATCCTGTCACAATAACTTATGAATTATCCTCAGGTTTGTTTCTTTTTTTTTGTATTAAAAAAATTCGAAATACTCATCCTAAATATAAAAGCAAGTTTTTACTATTGGCCACAGATAAATAATATACCTCTGTTGGTGCAAGGACTGTGCTGTTGTTCTGCACTATTTATGTATTCATATTTATTTTTTAGACTGTTTAAAGAGGATAAGTGCCTGGTTACATTTTACAGTTTGGATGTTGCCTCTGATTTTGGTTGAAAAATTTCTAACAGCTGTGTGTGGGAAAAGCTGTGCATTGTAGAGTAGACAGCCCTATCAATTTGGTAAATAATTAGCAATAAAATATGAATTAAGATTTTAAACAAGGTTCTCAGTTACCACAACTTGAAGGGATACTCTCAAAACATAGCAGGCAGGGCTTTAACAGTACCATTTGTCTTCCATCACAGTGGAAAGACAGAGGAGAATCCTTGAATGTGTTCCAAAATTACCATCTTTTTTTGTCCTGTCAATCATAGGCTAAGCATGCCTGTTCTTCAGATGACATTTTTATTGAGATGAGTTGCAGTGATTGATACAAAGTAGGAGAGGCAGAGCAGCAATAAATATTTTGGTTTTCTCTGTTGAAATCTGCTATTTCCACTTAGGTGGTGAAAATTTCTGGGTTTTACCACTGTTGCTAGAAGCCTCATGTAATCCTGTAGAACAAGATGGTCTAGAACATCTATCATGGTTTTCTGAAGAAAAACAGAGAGTCATAATATTTTCAAGGTATTTTTAAAAAGTGAGATTTCAGTTTACAGGAGATACCTGTCACGCTATAAAACCAAATAGGAAAGGGTGCTTTCCCTTTAGCTCCAAAGTTTAGCATTCCTGAGAGTATCAGAGACAACAGAAGCTGAGGGCCATCAGCACTTTAGGGGCTTCAAAAATATTCTTTGCTAAAAAAATACTTTTTCTGGATGCCATGTGGTTGTAATACATGCTCCACCCAAAACTACGTGTCTGCTCTTGGGTGGAAAAACCTGTCAGGCTACTGCAACCCTGCCTGATATTAAGTACCTCACAAGATTAGAACCAAAAATAAACTGTGCAAGTGATTTAGAAAATCATAAACTCTTAATTGAGTCATTTAAAGCAGGCCTTTGTGTATTGTGAGAGTAGAGAAGGAGGTAAAAAAAAAGGGAAGCTATGTGCACTGTTCACAGGTCAATTTGATATGGTTGGCTTGTATTAGAAATGTATTTAAACACTGGTTTGGTTATGAGTCTTCTTGCTGCTCAATCTTTTCTGTGAATTGGCTCACTAATTTATGATAGATTTGTTCATTTTTAAGTTCTTGGCACTGTCATTTTGGGGTATGATATGATGTGCTGGAATGTATTGAGTGTGTCTAAATGGACTGAATGTGAGCAATTTTCTATTTGAAAAAATAAAATTCTATCTCACTCTTTGAAGTCTCAAAATCATTTCCATTGCAATTTCTCTCCACTGATGCCTACAGTGTAACAATGTGTGATGAGGGAAGATCTATAGGTAAAAAATTGTATCAGTTTCTTAATTCATCTACTGGTAAGTAATTTGCACTTTCTTGCAGTGCACAGATTCATTTTGTAGTTTATAAATAAGGACAGTCTGACACAAGTTAGTGGGCATTCAACTCTAACACAGGAGTTTACAAACCCCATGAGATTAACAACTTCCACACATGTCACATAGGAATTCACCAGCTAATTTCTTTAGGTAATTATATAAATTATATAATTATATAAAAATTATAGCAGCTTCTTGCAGACTCGAAAGTGTCTCTGAATGGATTAAATGGTGATGAAAACCTTAACTGTAATTTTTCAAATTCCACTAATTTTACCTCTATCAGGTCATCTCATTTTGTTATTTTCTACCAGTGGGAGAGCCTTACAGAGCAAGACAATGTGCTGCTCAAAGGAGAGAAGTGGATAAGCAAGACTTGGGCTTATGTTACTGCTAGCACCATTGTCCTCTGCTTAATGACTCTGAACTGATTGATAGTTCTCTTCAGAGGACAGATGGACAGCTGCTTCTCTTCACAGGTCAAGGTAATTTCTATCATCTTTGAAGTTTTCCATCTCCTATCCTTTCCCTTCCATCTTGTGTGCCTCAGAGGTGGTGACTTCTCTTGTAATACCACATATAAGTTCTCAGGACTGTGTATAGGAATTAACCTGCCTGCTGGGTTTACTGGAAGTAATACATCAAACACTTATCCATGTTGAAAGCCTTGCAGACACGTTGGCTCCTCAGCCAGCTGGTCAATAGCTGGAGGACTTTTCTGGCCCAGGAGCAGGATAGAAATTCTCTCATAGGAATTACTGAGCTTCTCCTTATCACAGCACACACCCTCTCCTTGTCCTTTCTTCGAAAGATCAGAGGTCTAAAGAATCACAGTTGGTGCTTAGGGACATGGTTTACTGGTGGACTTGGCAGTGCTGGGTTAATGGTTGGACTCTGATCTTAAAGGTCTTTTTGAACCTAAACAATTCTGTGATTCTATACGAAGTTTGAGAAAAGGATTTTGTAAACTGCTATTTGAATCAAGACCAATCCATTTGCCCCAAGGTGAAGGGACACTTCACTGATTTTTAGTGTATTTGACTGGGTTTCTCTGGGCACAGGAAACAAATCTAGAGGTTTTGTGCTATGTAACTTCTGCTCTTCTAGCCCAATGCATATCTGATTTCAACTAAGATTTTTGCATTAGTTTAATAGTCTTTTTTTTTTTTTCCAGAAAGATATATTCTGTTTTCTTTCTTGCTTGAGCAAGTAACAGGATGTGGCTTAGAGGACTGGAGATTCTATACATGTTTTGAGACTTTGCTACTGTTAAGATTTAAAGCTGTCCCTGCTGGGTTTTGCGTGGACCAAACATTTTGGCATCATTTAGAACAATGGGTTTGCCATGTTGGCATGCAAATACTATCCCTACAGTTTTCATGGCAGCCACATCTCATGAACCTAGATAATGGCAAATATTTCGTGATGAGCAAGGTATTTGCTGGATTTCACCTAAATCTCTTTGCCTGATATTTATGAACAAATTGTGGTTTCTTCTTGTTGCTTCTAAAGAACTACAAAAAGAAACCTGATGGCCCTGCACATCAGCAATGTGTTTGCTGGAGTATTCATATAACACAGCTGTACAAAATTACAGGCCCAAGTGAAGGACACAAGTAAAGCTTATTATGAAAAAGGTTGGATTTATTTTTCTAAAACTGTCTCAAGAAGGACAGTTGTAAGTGCAAGTAAATTTACCCAAGTTTTTATAATTAACTAGTTGAACAACATGTTACCAGAAGAATTAAATATGAGGATGATGTTCTCATTTTGCCAAAAAAGCTTAAAACCCACTTCCTTTCCATTGAAACTTTCAAATTATTAATCTCTGTGACTGTATGCAACATGTTATCTTTTGTCTTTCATGTACTTTTTTCCTCATCTTAGTCTGTCTTTTTTGCTCCTTGATTTAAAACAAAAAATACATTGTACTTTTTAAGAATCTGGTCGGAAATACTCTGTTACTTTTATGAAACTATGTTATTTTGTTATATTACTTAAAGAGAAGATTCTTATCTCAAAGAAGTTAGAAGT